GTTCCTTCTCATAACCTTACCATCCAGGTTTCTTTTCTCTTATCTCCAGACAGCAGTCTACAACACTGTAAGACCCGAACCTATCAAACACGATCGGTTTCACCTTTCCCTAGTAGGTCATCATGCAGCCTATACACGACTAGATACACAATTCACTTCCGCTTCCTTAAGCTGAAGTTAATTCCCCAGTAGATTAACAGACAACTGAAGCTCCTAAAATTCTATTTCTCCCAAGACAGAGACCAACATTCCTCAGCAGATTCCTCCTCAACCATAGGAACAGGAATTCTCATCAAAGGAATATCTCGGGAAATCAACATCCTCTAGATGGCATCTTTAAGCCCATCTCCGGTGACCTCCCGTCATCTCCTCCAAATGGCATCTGTAAGCCCATTCCCGATACTACCTACATAGTCAAGCATCATTACAGACGAGTGCAAATTTCTGGGCACTCTAGTATTCAATCATCTTCCACCTTCAGATCACGAAAGACAGACGAGCCAATCTAAATCTTCAGGTTTAAGAAGATTGAACAGGGGCAGCTGTTGTACCCTAAAATTTCCCCTCTTTTCATACACGCATATTATTAGTTTTATGGTTATGGAATAAAGGTATATTTATCAAGCTTCTTCAGGTTACAAGTGACCTTTATTTCGTCAATGGATATTCTCAGAGTATTTTCCGTGTTGAAGATCGGTTCGCCGTTTTGCAATGATTCGGGGTTCAAAGATTCACAAGTCCAACCCGGCGTGTTATATTCAGGTGTTCTTTCGCCAAGATATCTCTGATAATGTATTCTCAAATTCAGGTTCGGCTCAAGAGTCAGTTTTTTAAAGAAGGTATCTGAATGGGTGAGTTTTCTCGAAGAAATATGGTGAAAAAGTGTGCTGAAAGTGCAGTTTTTACGCGCTAAAAAATTCATAACTTGAAGATCGTGGCTCGTTTTGAACCCGTTCCGGTAGCCAAAATTCCGTCTTGACGTCATCTACATTTTCATCTCTTACGGATGGAAGCCAATTTCGATCAAAAGGTCTTCAAAAATGCGGATTTATCAAGTATTTTCATACAGAAAATTTGTGACAGAAGTTTATTTGCGTCATGTTTAGAAAATCATAACTTGGTCAATTTTCATCGTATCGAGCTGGTTCCGGCGCCAAAATTTTACAAATTGAGCTGGATACGTTTTCACAGGAGGTATCGAGCTCGAACAGTATTCAAAAGGCCATCGTTTTTTGCTCAGAGTGCATGTGACGTGCCGAAAATCCTGAATGCTGAATATTATTTCATCTGGGCCGAAACTTCGAAAATTCATAACTCGGTCAATTTTTATCGGATTGAGCCCATCTTTTTACACAGGGTCACGGACTCAGAGATCTACAACTTTATTCAAAATTCGAGACCGAATTATTCTCCAATCAATACCAGTTTTTTATTGAAGAACGTGTCATAGTCGACACTGGAGCCCAAAATAAGTTTGTCTGAGCTGAAACTTCAAAAATTCATAACTAATTCACAGTTTATCCGATTGAGCTCATTTTCGGAAAGGAGTTAGTTCTCGATGTCGGATACATTTTGTTTTCACGTTTCAACTTCAAAAATTGCACTTAAGCCCCTGCGATTAAGCCTGGAACGTGACAAACTCAAGTAAACATTGGAGGCTCAATTGTACATTCAAAGCCCATTTTTTTCTCTCTAATTTCTATTATATAATTTCATTCTTTCCACACAAACAAAGAGAAAAAAAATGCTTTTGCCACAACGCTGTCAGAATATCAAATTCTTTCAAGAACCCTAAAACCTTGAAATCCTTATTACAAACCTCCATCTCACTACAAACAAGTCATCCCTGTTACAAACCCACATCTCACTACTTCTTCAGTAAGGGTGGGGCTGGCTTGATCTCCATGATCAAAAGGGCATAAAAGCATTCATCTCACTAATTCTCCAGTAAGGGTAAGGCTGGTTTGATCTCCATGATCAAAAGGGTATAATCATTCATACATGCCATAACGGTTTTAACATTAAATTTTTTCATATATTTTCTTTATTTATATTTCATGATATATAGTAATTTATTTAATGTGTTCATGAGATTTAACACTGCAGATTTAGACAGGGTCCCATGTAGGTTCATTACAGAACGTTGAGGCCAAAACACAAATGGCCAAAACAGAACAGCCAACACATGACACCAATACATGGTGAGGCAGACATCCTGAGAAGGTTAAGGGCATGGGTTCAACAACCACCCCTATTGGTTTTGATTTTCTTCCTTTCTATTTATCCTTTTACCTATTTTTATTCTTTCTGTTTAAAATTTTTTTTCATAAAACTTAACATTTTTCACAAACCTTTGATTTTTCCTCCTAAACTCGAATAATTAATTTTAGGTTTTAATTTAATTTTAGGTAACTTTAATTGTTTTGTAAATAAATTAAAATTAATTAGAACAATTAGGATTTTGTTTCTAACTTAATTCTATTTTCTTTTTTCTTAAAATAACAAAACACAAAAATAGGCCATTTAATTATTTTTTTTAAACTAATTTAATTACTAATTAATTTTGTATTTAATTTTAAAAAGCCTAATTCTTTTTTCTTAGAAATAATTAAAAACAACAAAGAAATAATTTTTCTTTCGATTAGGTTAGACGGGGTCAAAACCCTAATTCTCTCTCGTTCTTTATCCGCGCGCGCTTTATTTTATTTTACCATATTAATGTAATTGCTCACAAGTTGTAATAGATTAATTAGGACCTTTTTACTTTCATTTATCATTTTTTAAGGGTTTGTTTTTGGCTATGTAAATACCCGAAGCCTTGTAATAGCTTAGCTTATTTTCCGCACTTTTAATTCCGCAAACTATAAACTGCTTAGATGTATGGCTAATAGGATTGTATGGCAAGAATGTCTGGAAAATTAAAACAGTAGATCACCTTAATTGTGCAAAGATAATTAATTGAAAAAGCACACATGCACATGCTCACTCTTAGGGTATGCTTTACTTGGTTGCCTCGGAAAACAATGGTCATGTCCCTCGAACGTAGGGATATCTTAGCAAAAGACCCCCAATCTAAAAGTCATCATAAAGATCATAGTCCCTTACTGTCCCTCGAGTTGCCTACGAAAAGTGATCTTGTCCCTCGATGTTGCCTACAAATATATGATGACAGTCCCTTCGAAATGCTAAGGTATCCTTACATGTTGCCTTCAATGACCATTACGTTCCTTTCGATAGTCCCTCAAACTCCAACGATGGTGCTACCTATTTCTCAAATAGTAGGATAGCGTTGTCTAAAGGAAACGAGAACAGAAACGATCCTTTTTTCGAGTAGGTAGATGCTAGTAGGTACTTGCCCAAAACAAACAAACCTTTTTCACACTTACACTCTTTCAAACTAAGTTTTCAAAAATGCTTCGTAACACTCTTGAAGACAAAAGCAAGGGTTAAATCGAAGTAAAACAAAAAACTTTTCAAAACACACAAACACGGAAGAAATTTTTAAAAATGATGAGCAAGTACCTAAGAGCCCATAGAAAACTACGGATAGAAAGGGTGCTAATACCTTCCCTTTCTATAATCTACCCCCTGTACTCAGAAACATCTCGAAAAAGGATTTTTTTTCTGTACTTTTTTCCTTTCCAATTGGATGAAATAAAAGTCGGTGGCGACTCTTGCTTACTGTGACATTTTGCAAACACAAATGCAAAACACAAACCAGTATTAACAGTCGGTTCTGCCACTGTATCATAGGTAAAATCAATGAAGTCGCCACCGAGTGTTTATTTATCCCATGTGAAAGGGAAAGGAAAATCATCGAAGAAAAACCTAAAGGGGGAAATCAAGGTCTTGCGACCGAGAGATTGGGTAAGGGAGTCGATTACGCAAGGGGAAGGTATTAGCACCCTACACGTCTATAGTACTCTACGGGATCCACTCTCGTTATTCTAACCAAAGGGTGTGTTCAATCTAATGCTTAAGGGTTATAAACTAATAGAGAAAGCATGCAAAGAAAGGAGAAAGAATGTAGGGAAAATAAAGTTGTACTCGCTTGGGCCCTATCCCAATGCCTACGTATCCTTTTTGAAGAATCAGAGCTACCGTAGTTCGGCTTATGTATTTTGTTTGTTTGTATTTTTTAAGTGAACAATGTTGCATTCGATCATTCCACCGCTGCTCGACCTTTGGAGACTTATGACCTGTAGTGGAAATGAGCTGACATGCTCTTAGAAGAGAAAACCCGAATGGCGAAAAGAAATGGATTGGTTGGTATTTTTTTATCATGAAAATAATTTTTTTTATATACTTAGCATTTTTTATATGTTTGCCAAGAAAAAGAAGTTTTAGTTTTAAGTGTAACTGCAAAAAATGGAAAAAAAACCTCTAAGGGAGACTAACCTATTTCTAACCTAATGTTATCATACAATGAGGGATCCTATCTAAGTTAGCATGCCAAAGAAAGTCTAACAAAACTATCCTATAGGGAACATGCATTGAGAGCGAAGTCGTGATGTCAATTTCTAAATTGAGTGACTCATCGATCAACAATAAATAAAGGAAAGCGATAAAATCCTATAGGGAGCATTTACTGAGAGTGAAGTCGCGATCTCAATTGCTAAATTGAGTAACTCATCAATCGACCAGAAAAGAAACAAACACAAACACAACACATATAAGAAATGAAGTGTGGAATGCCTGCTACAGGTCTTTAAACAGCGACTTCGAGCGCACGCTCTTTATTTCCTACTTCTCGTGATATCTAGAAAAGCGATAAATGCGGAAATATAACTTGGAAGCAGTATAATACGAAACGAACAATGACGTCTGCAAAAAGTGCAACCAAGGTAAAGAAATTCGAGATACTGTGCGCGAGCTAACAGAGAAATTATGTTGCCTCTTCAAAGCCACACAGGCAAAGAGAAAAATGTGGAATAAGTGTCAAAGCGTCATTGATTTTAAAATAAATCACAATCGACATCTTAAGCGTATCCTCATATCTCATGATAAACCTTCATATGACTCAGATCTCAACAAGCAAAGGTCAATCACAAATCTCAAATAATCGAGACTTAATTCCAAAAAAATCTCCTAAAGTCTTAATACTTTTTATCAATGTTTTTTTGATTATATTTGTCATTAAAAAAACAATTAAAAAAATCTAATCAAAATATCAAATTTAACAAGAAGGATGATCACGGGGTGGGAATCCGGAATCTAGGGGGTAATAGGAATCTGGGCGCCAGGCCCATGCATTAATATCTACAATGTTGTTTTTGTTTGCTAAGACAATAGACTATATAAAAAAAATAACAGTGAACGGGCTTAGAGGGATTCTGGTCAGCACACAATCAGGTTTTTTTATTCTCTAAAAAAAACTATCAGGCCAAGGAGGGGTGTGATGCGGTCCAACAACCACTTCTTTGCGCTTGAATCTCAGGCTACAAAAAAAGATATTTCATAGGTCTAAATTGAGATCCACCTATCAACCTTTGTGCATTTCAGATTAAAAAAAAGATGATAAATAAAAAAAAGAAATTGAAGATAATAAAAAAAAGAAAAATATAAAATTGAAGGATTAGGGCTGGGTTTTGGGGATGACGGTTCAGATTCTCAATTCTTTTCTTCTCTCGCGGCACCGCTAACCTTCTTCCACGGCAGCTCGATTCCCGTTCTTCTTCGCCCATCTTCAAGAAGCTTCATTCTCCGTTTTGATTCACCATCGTAGCAAATGATTCTATCGTGCACCATTGTTCCTAGCGAACTCGCCTTGTTCTTCTTCGAATCGCGATTTCATATCATTCGCTTTCTCCAGATCGGAGCATCGATTCGCCTCAACCGTCTTCATTGATTCGCTTCTGCAAGATTCCAGTCTTGTCCAGTTATCAAGGTATACGAATTCTTGACTCAATCTTTTTCTACTTTCTAAGTATTCTCTTCTTCTAATTTATTTGATTGTTATTTCGTAACGTCGTCGTTAATCGCAGATCGATGTCGTTGTGGTTGATCATTCCTGAAGCAGAATGTAACAATGAGGACAATGATGAAGAACGACAGTTGCAACTATTGAAGGTTGCTGAGGATGATGATTGAAGATGCACAAAGAGATGAAGATTGATGGTGATTCTTGAAGTTTTTTGGTGTAGGTGTTGCAGAGAATTGATGCAGGTTTGGAAGATGATTGCAGTTGAATCTCAGTGAAGATGGTTGAAGTTGTTCTTAAAACGATGATGATGAAGATTTATGATGTGCAGTCGTGTTGAGAATTTGAAGATGATTGGAGCTGATAAACCATTCAAGATTGCAGTTAAGCTTGAAGAAGGGAGCATAGAGAGATCTTTTCAGATAATTTTCTAGTGAGTTTTTTATAATTGATTTTTCTCTGACTTTTTTTGGTGAATGAGTCGTGAACCCCCTTTTCTGTTCTAATCAGTTGGAATTTTTGTTAGAGGGTTAGGACGTTATTAGTTTTCTATTAGAAGTTGGTTATAGGTCAGGGGTTGTTAGAGAGGTTGTGGATAGTTGGTTATGAAATTCTATTAATGCTGGATTATTTGGTTGGTAATTCGGTTATGAGATGGTTTAGAGGTTTATGAGGAATTAGAAGATCGTTGCGGTTATTTGACAGTTGGAATTAGTTAGGCTACTGTTAGAAGAGTGAGAGTTTGAAAGGTAGTTAGGAATTCTTTTGGGATTGTTTTCGTTATTTTCTTTTTTACGTCCTCCTCTTCTCTTTTCTGATTTAATTTTGAACTCTTCTTTTTGTTTTTCTGTTACAGAAGTTCTAGAATTGGTTTTTTTGCTGTTAATTTCAACTGGTTTGAATTGTTATATGCAGGTTGTTTTGGGTGATACGGGCCCGTTTTCATGGCAAGGGGTTTGAAGGAAATGATGAGAATATCATGGTTCAACACATAGTAGCAAGTGGTATGAAGAGTTGTTCGAAAGAAGAATTGGCCGTGGAGCATTGCTCTTGAAGACTTATAATAGGTTTATGCTTTGTTTTACGTGTAACTTGAATGTAACCATGAATGTTGTAGATGAAACTTGAAGGATATCAATGCAAACTTGAAGCATTCTTGTAATATAGTTGACTTTTCTTTTGTGGCGTAATTGGAATGAAGTATTTGGAAACTTGGGAAGGTAACAAAGTTCTTGAAACATGGCCATACACCGCAATCTTGTATTGTAACCTTGTAAATCCAAATGATACACTTTCCGAAACATCTTTCTCTTTCTAAGTTTCAAGCACTTTTCATTGGTTGACTCATGAAGTCTTGCTATTTAAGAATGTGAGAGGACTTTCTTTATTTGACATTTCAAAACAATATTCTAATTGCAACTTGCACAACCTTAATCTTTTTCTTCAACCTCACTATTTTGGATGCTTGAATGTATTCAAATGAAATATTTTGGTTCCTCCCTTGCCCATAACAATTTGAATGAAATCATGGATGAAAACCCAAAGATTCGTATAAGACATAGTAGGAAGACTTGTAACACCCTTAAGTTGATAGCACAATGTAGTTCTGATTATTAAAGTGGGACACCTTATATTGATCATTAATCTCTAAAATTGATTTATCACTACAAACACCATGAAATGCATTTTTGTCCACAAAGAGTTCACAAGTTTATCTATTGCTCCATCTTGGTCAATGAATCTAAATCTTCAATTGAATCTCAAACTCATGAAGCCACACAAATCCTATCAACAAGCTTGGGTGAGCTCTTAATTCGTAGCTTAATCAATAATAAGTACATTGATTCGATGAATTCTTCAACCAATCCTTAACCATTTAACAACTAGCATTAAAAGAACTAAGCCCTTGACTAAATCTTCTGAACTTCTTAAGAGGAATGTCTTGAGATGTAACGATTAGAATAAACCCTGATTGATGATGATGAACTCGCAATAAGGGAAGAGTAGTGCTCAAGGCAGCCTTGGAGTGACACATTAATTCAATAAACCTCCATAGAAGAATCACCACCAAGCTCAAACAAAATGAAGAGAAATCCTGATTCTCTGGCTGAGTTAGGCCCTAATGCCTTTGTTCCTTGAAATAACCTTGATGAAGAAAAATTTGTATCTTGAGGAAACCTGATAGCGAAGATATCTATGCTGCTTGAGATCCAAAACCATAATCTTATACCAAGAAAAAATGAGAGCGCCAGTTGAATCAATTTTAAGTAAGACGACAACCTCAATTCAGAGAGAGAAACCCTAATGCCAAAGCTCTTTGATCTTATAACCATGAGACCAATGCTATGTGTGAAATATACAAAGTATGACGAGGGATATTAGGGGCAAAAATTGGGGTATAACACTTATGTGTTTTGAAAATTTTTTTGAAAATGTCTTAGTGCGGTGATTCGCTTTGTGATAACTCTTGTATCAGTCCTCAAGAGTGTTGACAAGGCGTATGTTTTTGAAAGTGTTTTGAAATGTTTTTGTGTAGGTGCAAAAAGTTATTTTGAGCAAGCATCTAAGAACTTATCTACTTATACTCGAAAAGGTCGTTCTTTTCCTCCTAACCTTTAGACAGTAATATCCTACTATTAGTGAGTAGGTAGCCCTATCGTTGGATGTATGAGGGACAAGCGCGGGTCATCGTTATCGTCATAGAAGGCAACATATAAGGATACCTTAGCATTTCAAAGGGACCGTCATCATATATTCGTAGGAAACATCGAGGGACCAGATCATTTCTCGTAGGCAACTCGAGGGACAGTAAGGGACCATGATCTTTTATGATGACTTTTATACCGAGGGTCTTTGCTAAGATATCCCTATGTTCGAGGCACATGACCATTATTTTTTGAGGCAACCAAGTGAGACATACCCTAAGGGTGCAAGTGTGCAGCAGTGTTTGTTTTGAGATATTTATCTTGTAATTAAATGATCTATTTAATTGATTAAGCATACAAACCTAGGTTGCTAACAATTATATACAAGCATATAAAATAAGAACGATAAAATAAAAGATTCCTACGTTATTACTAGGCCTCGGGGAGGGGTTTACATAACCAAAAACCAGGGATTAAACAGTAAATAATATGCGGTAAGCCCTAATTAAAAACTATTACAAACCCGAAGCAAACACAATAATTGGAAAATAAAATATTACGCGCGAGAATTAAGTACGGGAATCAAAGTTTAAATTCTAAAAATCTAATCAATTAAAGAGAAACTATTTTTTTGTATTTTATTATTGAGAAAAATATTTGAAATCTTAACCTAAATCTAATTAATTAAAGAAAATATTTTTTGGTATTTTATTGAGAAAATTAAATATTTGTGAATTAAACCTAATTTGTCTAATTAATTTTAATTATGAAAACAATCAAGTCGATATCATTAAATTAATTATTTCCAAAAAAAAAACTAATTTTAATAAAAAACCTAATTCTACATTTTTGTGGTTTTCTTGATTTTATGATTAAATAAAAAAAATTGTTGTTTTGTAAAAAGAAATTAATCAAATAAAACAAAAGAAAATAAAGAAAGAAAGTAATTGGGCCTGCGGTGAAAGCAGATTAGGGGGTGTGAAGCTAAATTTCATTGAGCCCAAATCCTTTGGCCCACTCAGGCGTTTGGATTCAGTGCTGGCCACGTTTAAGGGTTCACCGTGGTCTGGATGTGTTGAGTGTTAGATCTGGATATGATGTGATCTTGTGGTATGGTGATGGAAGTGCATGAGGAGCACGCAGGGACCTGGAGCATTGGATCTGAAGACACAAATTATTGAAAATTAACTTTGCAAAAGGGCTGGATCGAACCCACCCCCTTTTGGAATTAAGCCTTATCATGCCCTGCCTTGCCAACTGAACCAATTGTGTTAATTGTTAACAAAATAATACGAAATAAATATAAGGCAAATAAAGATCTATGGCCACATGTCAAAAACGCGCGTGCTATGGGTCCCCAATGGTTTGAATGGACGAATCAGTGAGCATCACGCCATCACCTTCTTCAGGGATCCGTTGTTTTAGATGGGGAACTTTCACCTACGGTAGTTTTCCGTCACTATAGGTTATAGTGACGGATTTTGTTCGTAAATAAAAACCTGCAAAATTCAAAAACGCAGCACAAGCAGAATAAATTCAAACCAAATGCATGGATCAATTGCAAATCATCTCCTAAGTATGATAGTACCCCTAATTTTGTCCAATTTTGCCTTTATATAGAATTCCCAAATTGGGGCCTCAAAACCCTAACAATGGCATCGTGCCATTCCTGCACTTAAACTTCAATCAAACCAATAAAAAACATTGCAAATATGATAGCAAGCATGGATATATGATCAAAACATATTTATGATGGATAAATCATTGAAAACGAATCTTGAAAAAAGATGCAAACCCTGGCACTGTGAAGCGTGATTTCTGAAGGTTTTAAGGCTTGAGAATGATTGGAATGGCTTCAGAAAATGTCCAGGAACGGATTGCTGGCCTTGGAATTTCTTGAAACGGCCTATAGAATCAAAACTGACCTGCACTTTTTCCACAAAAAATTGACACTTCTTCCTTTGTTTTCACGACCCCAAACCCTCTTTTTTTGCCTTGAGAATGTTATGTCCTTATATTGGAATGAATTAGCTCAATAAAAACTAATCATATCTTTCCAAATTATGGAGATTTGATTTCATTCTTTGTCTTGTATGATTTGTTTCCAAAATAGACCAAATTAAGATCTTTTCCAATCAATTGGCTCTTTAACGGATTTTTTTGATTTGCTAGCTGTTCATGGACTCATAATATGCTCATAAAATCAAATCTTTGATTTTATTTGATTATTCTATTATTTAAATTGATTTATTTTAATTTAAATGGATAAAAAATCAAAATAAATAATAAAAATAATAAAATAATAGGTGGATAAGATCACGGGTCATGGGCCATCTTAGGAACAAGTTTCAAACAAGAAAACATGGGCCCATTTGGAAAAAAAGTCATTTTGATCAATGTTGACTTCATGCACATTTCCAAAAATTGGTCAACTTTGACAATACATATCTCCCTTAATTTTAACCCTAAGAGGGTGTTCTTGGACTTTTTAGAAATCTTATGATGTCCTCTAAACAACCTTTTTGGTTTCATCTCACTTGGATCTTCCATGTTCATGTAAGAAGCTTTGACCCAAAAGGTGTTTTTGTTGACTTTTTCAAATGACCTATAATGTCTGAATTTATATCTTTTCACAAGTGCATTTTTTGAACTTGAGGGCTGAAGATGAGTTGTAGGGAATTGAATCCTCTTCAAAGTGAGCCTTTGATGGTAAATTTTTGATAAAGTGTGAGAAAGTTATGCCTGGTCAAAGTTTGGTTGACTTTTCCTATAGAAACCCTAATTTAGCAACTTTTGAGTTCTGATGAATTTGGGGCATTTCTTGAGGGATCGTGATCAACCCTTGATCAAATGATGGATGTTACTTAAAAATGTTGATGTTGACCAAAAATCTTGAAGTTTGACTGTATGTGGGCCACAGTTGACTTTTGACCTAATACAATTGATTTTCAAGCATTTGAGCAGTTGACTGAGCAAACTTCTTGTGCAAGGAATGAAACTTGACATGGATGGTCTTGAGAACATATTATGACTATGGAGAGCATATGAGGCCTTTGGAGCTCATCCGTGTTGATGAAAATGGAAACCCTAGTTGGAGGCTCATTGTCTTAGGAAGACGATTTGTCTGATCAATCCTTAGGCATCCTTGAGCAAGTTGAGGACCTCTAGGAGCATGTTTTGAATAAAATGAGAGGGAAATTTTTGGGGTACAACAGCTGCCCCTGTTCAATCTTCTTAAACCTAAGGATGTAGATTGGTTGGTCTGCCTTTCGTGATATGAAGGTAAAAGATGATTGAACACTAGAGTGCCTAGAA